GCGTGTCGCTGTAACAGTGGAATTCTATTCGTAACAGTAGACTCCGTTCCCTTTTGAGGCTTCAGGGGGGCACGCACCACACACTTCCCTATTTGTGAGCGGGCGCCGTTACGAAATATCCTACTCTTGCCTTTGTTACTTACACGCATTCCCGGCGCAGCGTAAATGTCTTGGGTGCGTTATGTGAATATTCGTGGCCCATTGATTACATCAACAATGCCAAGCCTCGTCTGCCTTCGAGCTGATTTAAAACGCTTCTTAAGAAGTAGAAAAGCGGCAAGTATTTTAAACCATGGACGTCAAGTTGGCTTACGTTTTATTCCAAGTAATCATCGAGCGTACGAAATTTGGCTACCAAATAATGTTGTGATTATTCTTCCGTGGCACAGAGGTAGCGCAATAACAGTTACTTAAACGGGCTGAGTTTCTTCCTTAGTTCTCAGGACTTGCCCGTGGCGCACTAAGCTGCCCCATTTGTCATCTGATGCTGACCGCAAAACAAATGACACGTCAAAATCCAATCGAAGCAAAAAATGCGCTGAAAGAGCAACGGCGATTACGTAGACATCAACACTGTGCCGTTCTGCTGCCCTCTGACTATAGCTGAACCCCCAAGAAGTGCCATAACGAGTAGCCACCGACAGCAGCCCGGCAGTGTCAGCAACAGCCAAAACCACAAAAACAGCGCCCATGCCAAAAGCAGCAGCACTGCCATAACCAACAAGAGCTGCAGCAACAGCAGCAGAATGAGAAGCACCACCTGTTGCGACGCGCAACCACCCTCGCTGCCCATACACCTCAGACCCTGCCATGTTGTTGAGCCTCAAATTCATCATCTACCCCTTCAACAAAGGCATCGCGCGCTCCTTTACTCCTCCTGTTGCCTTTCCTCGAGCTGACGCTCTGTACGCTGGATTTATCATCATCAAGTAGCGATGAGAACTCCTCTTTGACGCTTTTAGGTGCAGTCGACCGCCTTGCTTTGTAAATTGACACTGCGCCCCAAATTAACGCAGCCAACAGCACTATACCCACACACACCCCGACGAGGCACCACCCTATAATCCACTTGTGCCCGTTCGAAAAGGCCCCACTCTGCACACTGTTGCTACCGTCTTGGCTGCCGCTTCTACTAAGAAAAGACTTGATGCAGAATGGCTGCAGTACTTCAAGGCGTTGTAGTGTGTAGCCAGCCTTGCACGTACACAAAAAGTGGCCACGGATAGGTCCCTTGCACGTCAGCTGGCCTTCACCGCACGGCTGCTGCTCACAAGCTGTCTTTTTTTGATCGTGTTTTCGCCCACTATTCTCCTGAGCTGTTGCCTTGTCGTTAGCGTAATTGACAAGACCATTTAGCCCGTCAGGTTGCAGCACCGTAGCTATGCTGTTGGTACTTTCTTTCGCTGCTTTCAGCCTGCTACCTCCCATCAATCTACCTCTCGCCCACCTCTGCGCCTCTGCGTCGTCTCCTGCTCTGCCATGACTTAATGCTCCTTCATGGGCTGGTCCGTGAGTGTCCTGCGGACTAAGTCTAATATCTTCCGATGTTGAATCTGCATCCTTTTGCACAGGGCGCTCGACAGAGAGAGAATTAATTCTGTCTACAGGTACTTGTGTGGCGCCTTGTTCACTTCCAAGCAAGCTAGTCGCTCCCTCCTCCTCCAGCCTCTCTATTTCTTTTCGTCCTGATGGAGAAGCACTGCCAGGTTCTTTCGGAGTATTCGCATCTTCGGGCATCTGTTGAGGGGGTTTCTCCAACTGAGTTTGTAGCTCCTGCAGCACATTATCTGGCTGCATCTGTTTCTCCTGATGTGCAAGTGGTTGTGTTGCTGCTAGAGTGGCCAACATTAGGGAGTGGCAAAGGGCCAGAAGAAGCAGCGAAGAGCTGAGGTGTCTCATGGCGCCAGCGAAGGTTCAGTGCCTCCCAGTGGTATCTGCACGCCCTTTGACTGGTATTCCCTAACTGGTCTGCTGAGCAGCAAAAATTCAACGCCAAAATTGATAGCCGCAGCGCAGCAAAATGCATAGCAGGAAGGAGCGACCAACAGACTCGGCCCAGCGCACGTGCTAAGGTGAATAGCTCGGCTCTAAGTGCAGATCTCCGACAAAGTCAGTAGCAGAATTCCGTGTGTGCCATTTACTTTGCTAAATATTCGTTGTTCACTTCAGCAAAGACGCATCGATACGGGGCAGAGCATGCACAACGTTGTTGTGCAAAGAGTGGGGAAAGCGCTCAATTAAATTTCGTGGAAGAAAGAAAAAAGGGATAATACGCTACAAACAAATTTGAAAAAGAAAATCTACAGAGTAGGTTCAAGTAACAAATATTAAACGGTCCCTAAATGCTGCTGACGCGCAGCACTGTTGACCAGTGGTACGCTACCGGGAGCTCGTTGCAGTTGCTGTCGCTCTATTCGTCCATCACTTTGTTGTTTCTTGTTTTGTAAATGATAAATGAATATCATGCTATAACATGCCGCTTCGATTAGTGCTGAAAAGCAAAGTCTGCATGCCATTCACCGGGGTATCGAGGCCCCCAGTCGCTCAGTGCGCTGCAGATGGTGCGAATCCACAGGAATGCCAAAGTAAATAATAAGTCAAAGAATAGAGCATTATCGGGTATATTTTTGCAGATGGTCCATCACCTTCAAACTATTTTTCTTCCTTCATTGCAATCGAACGATGAATAACAAACTCACCGACCAAGGTTTATATATTGAATGGCGGGCACGAAAAAATTCAGATAATTCACGAATGATTCACAGAGATTTCATGAAATCTTCTCTTAGAGCTTCAAGTGCCAAGTATTTAATGCTAGCCGAGGCCATTACGAGAACACATGCACGCAGACATGCGCGCTACGGTACTACAGAAAGCCCTCAATGAACAAAGGAACAACCTAGGCCCGGCAAATTTATTTGCATGCAAGGCTGCCACAGTGACAACTTTACCAGTAGTAAACAGTGCTCCCCGAAGCTCGACTAGACTGAGATGCCGGCGGAAGAAGACGTCACATGGAGAGATGGCAATCACACGAGCGACGTCCCCCTTGCGTGCCAATAAGAAGGGACGTCCGTATGTTTTATAATCCGTCATAACCTCCCTTGGGCTAAACTATAGTATGAATCAACATTGAGGCAACACTTTCGCTGCAAGAGCTCAACCAGGGTGGCACCTGTTCGTACTTCTATTTAATGGCGATAGACGCTGAGCCACAGGCACGCACTTGGAGAGCGGCTCGATGTGTTGCGAAACGTGTCCTTTTATCAATTCTTGAAACTTTTGTTCTGGTGAGTAGATAACGCAAGTGGGTATTCTCTCAAAACACGCTTTTTTGCCTTTGTTTGCAGTTTGCGTTCACGTTAGAGCAGAGCAGAAATCCGAGAGACAGTAGAAGTTCTAATAATCATAAAAGAACGCAGGACGGCCTAAATAAGGGAGAGTTAAGTGGTGACTGGGCTGTCGGTACTGCGACAAGGATGCAATTCCATGAACATGCACAAGTAACACGAAGGCGGTGAACGGGCCTACATTACTGCGACGAGAATCTGTGCAATTGTTCAGCGGAAAGCTCCTGCCATAACTCTACGCCTAAGATCTCCCAATCTACTACAGGGAGCTGATGGCTGAGGGTAAGGCCTACAAGCACTCTAAGAATTGACTCCTTCATAGGTCATTGGTTGGTTCAGGACGGAGAGACGGAGCATCAGAAAAAGTCCAGATTCACAAGCAAAAATATTCTAGCAAAATAATCGTACAACTTAAATGTCTCACTTAACTAGGGACTAGTGCAAGATATGACCGTACCTCTCACATATGCACTCTCAAAGCACAGAACGCACGGAAACTTGTATACTGCTTCTAACAGAAATGCATATAGGACTTTCTGGGGATCATAGCTCATATGCTTCCAAAAAATTGAACTTTGGGACGAAAATTTTCTTGGGCAACGGAAGCGCGGCAACAATACAAGGACAGGATAAAGCAGATGCAGCGGAATAAGTCCGTAACGGTATTGTAACCGTATCTCAAAAAGGAAGAAAAGTAGCAATACATTTTCTGTTTCGCTTGGCCTTCAACGAACACAACTTACTGTGCGAAGTGACCTCTCGGTGAAGGCCGGCGTCTCCATTTTCCGAGTATTTCGCTAGTGAAATCTGACGAAGTCAATTAAAAAATTAAAAATAAGAACACTGAAGTTTAAATAAGAACAAACCCCTACCAGGACAGTCTCAGAAGGCAGGCCCCCGCTCCAGCCAATGCTCTCTGCATGACGGCAACGGTGCATGCAGAAACAGCCAGGCAGACAGTCACACTTTTCGTTTGTTTACAAAATAGTTTACCTTTGGAATTTTTTACAGAGCAATTTCAGAATTTGGCAAAACACATTACCATTTCATATTCTCCAGGGGAACTAAAATAAAGTACAAGGAGCAGACCATAGGTTCTCATGCCCAGCTCCCCTGCCCATATATACTATAGTGTAGCCCCCACGGTGCACAAATATTCCGCATTAGTCCAATATCCATAGTATGCTAAATGGTTCTTTTTAGTCCGTTTCGCCTTCCGTTGTCTACGCGCCTCAGCCACATCGCCGCACCCCCAGAGGATACAGCTGCGAAGGCTACAAACATCTCGTGCTTGAAGCGCAGTGACCTTCCAGGAACTTTAAAGAATCACGCATATATAAGCGTGAACACATGCATGCATGTAGGGACTCACTGAGAACAGAACACTGCTGGCGGCTTGCATAAATCATAGCAATGCAGACGCGTGCAGTGCACTTTTCCGGCCTAGTTTCAGCTCTGAACAATAAGACAGCTTTTTGAGTGAATTTCAGTAACACAGTACGCTGCCTGTATACCATGGGATTCTGCCGGAGCTCCACCAAGAAGGCATGAGCTGCCGCTCGCATATCACAGGCTGCTCAAGGCGTAGAATTCAGAGTCTAGCGCTTGCGGCGTGAACAGCTGTGAAGAAATGGGCTCTTTTCACTAAAAATGCAAGCAGGGACACGACTGACTCCAGTGGTGGTAACAGGGACCCTTAGAGAGAAGTGCCACCCAGTGAGATTCCAGGTCAGGTGCCACCCCAGTTAAATTGACGCAAGCTTTTTCTTAGCGCTACAAATATTGAAATTTGGGCGACACTGTCCCCCACTTGCTAATCCTGAGCTACGTAGGGCAGAGACACCGTTGCCGTTTTGCGCTTTTCCCACAGTCGTCCACCGGTGGTAGCAGTAGCCTTCAGCCAGATGAGGCAGCGGGAGCAGCAGCATCTGGTGCAGCAGCAGCAGCTACTGCCATCTTCGCCGCTGCTACACAGAGAAGCGCTGCAACAGCTGTACAGATGCTAGAGCCTGTGACCCCTCTACCGGCTGAGGGGGCTCATCTCATGTTGGCGATCCATCATAAGGACAGCAGCACTGTGTCTCGACTGCTGCGCAACGTGGGCGTTGTCCCGACCTTTTACATCGCGACAGAAGACCCTGATTTCAGAACAACGTTAAGGCAAGGTGCTCGTTTCCAATGGAACTGCCGCTGTAAATCCACAAGGTTTGGGCAGAATGCAGGAGCGTCAGCTTGCTAGCTAGCAAGCTAACCAGCTCTCATGCTGGCCGTATCACTTCCAGTTAGTCACAACTGCTCAACTTTCAAGAGTCGAATTGGATGTAGGCTAATCTTGCTTTGCAACAGGCTCGCGGCGAGCGTCTCCTCAATGGGTATCATCCAAGAACTCGTACATCACGGAGCTGCTGCAACTATGTATGCAGAAATTGACGGCTGGACGGCTTTTCATGTGAGATGCTGCGGGCAGTGCTGTAAACACACCTGCAATCCCTTGGTAACAACAGCAAAATGTGACAAGTGCATTTGAGTGCTCTCCAGCGTTCGGGCGGCACTTCTCACTGCTGTATAATTCCAAACACAACTGCAGGAGCAAGAGTAGTGCCTTTTAGTGACAGAAGAGGCAATGTATTTCCCAGGACTCTCGTACAAAGCAGAGGGGTGGTGGCTGGCAACAATGTTGCTGTTGAAGTGACACGCGATAAATGAACCTTGCTGGGCTTCCCTCAAAAGGCGATACTTCGGCGACCAAGCCCCAGACATTTTCAACTTCAACATGAAATGTGGTGCATGCGTGTAGCAGGAGCTTACTTGCTCGGACCCAAAGGTCCCTGTGTAATGCAAATTCATGTGCGCAAATTGGGTCCTCAATATCAGATAAACTATTTACATACGTATTCATGTGTGGGGATATACAAATGTTGACAACTCCGCTTGCGTGACGGGCCTGCCAGCTGTTCTGTGTGTCCAGTGCGCCGCTGCCGCAGGGCGTGAGCGGGTTCTGCTGCTCCTCCTGAATTTATGTAATGAGGAAGCCGGTGCTGCAGCTGCGGGGGGCAGCTTGCTGCACCTGCTCAGCGAATGCGGTGGCAATACCCCATCAATAGGAGCAGCACTGAGTGCAGCTGTGCTGAGACAACAAGTAGACACGAAGGCTATGCGACCAGGGCTGGATGGGTGGACGGCCTTGGTAGGCACTTCACAACGCGCACAATAATAGCAGCAGCAAATTTAAATTATGTGGTTTATTTACTCACGCGCTGTAGAAATATGAGGGGCTATTCACATCATAGGAAACAAAAGTGCAACCCAAACCATACACGCGGGCCTAAAGGCGAGAGAAAAATTTGCCTCTTGACTCAGCACGTCTGCTGCCTCCGAGGCAAGCGGCGCCTGGCGAGACTCCTTCTGCAAATAGGGGCTGACCCGACAACAGTCACTGGGAAATTTGATGGGGACTCAGTACTGCTGAAAGCTGCAGCCACCGGGACCATATGTGGCATACTGGGCATACAACGGCAAGCAACGCAACGGGAAGACCACTCAAAGACAGAAAATCTCATGCCTCCTTATGGGACTGATTCTGGGCTGCTCCCTATCCATTTGAGCTGCTATGGGTAATTTCCCGTCCACGCATGTGCATTTGTTTATATTAGTATCCTCAGCATGTGTAGACAATACTCCTTAACGCCATTATGTGCGCTGAATAGCAGCGGTTGTGTTGCATGGCAATTTCTCTGTGAATCCATTTTGCAACAGTGCGATGGCTGGTTTCTGCTCATCCTTAAGCTGCCGTTGCAAAAAGGCTACAGCAACTAACAGCTCAACATTCTGAGTTGAGTAAAATCAAATAGGGCTGCGGATTGATGCGCAGGGCTCACCGTTCACTTACTCTTCTTTTGTTACAAATAGGGAACAGCATCAATGCGCTGACGGCAACGCTGCGCTGGAGCCCTTTGCACTTCGCAGCTGTTTCGGGCTCAGCAGCTTTTGTTGCGGACATCTGTCGCTGGTCTACAGGAAAGAATGTCAATCTCCAAGACGAAGGCTGGCCACTGCAACGGACTCCCTTAATCATCGCATGAGCAAAACAGGCACGAGAAACGTATCCTCAAAGTCACTGTATAACTGAGCTCCAAAGGTGTTATCGGTAAACATCATATGAACGCGTCTGCCATATGCAAACTGATGTGATATATAAAGAATCACAAGAATACACCAGTGGCCACTCAACGAGCCATGCCACTATCCCATAAATACTCAGGATTTGGAAAGCGTGAAGGTGCTACTCTCTTTTGGCGCTGACCCCCTCAAGGCCGTCCGGTTCTCCAGGCTGCGCACTATCTGTGAGTTTCTCCTAAGAGACCCAAACAGTGGCTCTACCAAGTGAAATGGCTCTACCAAGTGAACGTGCCGGAATCATCAATGGATCACGCGCCAAACTGTTATGTGCTTGTGTGGAACCAAACGTGTTTTGTTCTGAGGGATGTTTTCACTGCGCATAAGCATTTTGAGATGTTGTGAATCAGGGTTACTAGGCTAGAGCCTAGAGCCTACAATCTGGAAGTCCTTAAGCTACTGGGTTAGGCCTAATTAGTGTAAAGCAATGCGGTAGTTTGACTTGGGCTGACTGCTGTCAGGCCTGGCTGAAACGCCTGCAGAAGAGGAAGACCCAGATGACCAGGTTACGGCTTTGCATGTCGCGGTGCTTCAAGTGGGAGTTACCAGTGTTATAAGATGCGCTTAGCTAGGCTACACATGGCAACCAGTACAGTGTAAGACGTGTGAACGCAAATGATAATTCTGTAATTTGCAATTTGCTGCTTGAGCCTCCCTCTATGCCGGCGTAGGGCTGCCCAGAGTTCGTAGTGGCGCTTCTACAGCTCTTTAAATCTCATATTGAGCAGTTCGGCACCGGCAAGGCACAGAGAGGCACCACCGGAGGTTCCACTACCGGCAGACGTCAGATTTTCAGCAAGAGGGACGCGGCTGCGTTGCAGTGCATTATTACAGGAGAGTACTAGCACAAAGTTCGCTGTTTCCGTCAGAGTCCCTATATGGACAAAATTTTTCGAGGCTTCTAGATAGTTTGGAGACTAGCTCAGCAGTGTACACAGGTTACATACTGTGCATAAAGCTACCTTTCTCTCTGATCACCCAAGGCCGTGCAAGACTATTTCCCAGATTTATGCGGCCGGTGGTTTCTCAGAATGCGTATTGGCAGTAACACACTTGTTCCCTGGTGTTCAGGTGGCTGCGGTGCCCCTCCAACGGAAGTAAACAAAATGTTGGAAGGTGCGTGACCGTTTGTCGCTTTTTGCTTGCATTGTGCTACGGAATTCCGACTTGGAGTGATTTAAAGCGTGTAGCGCAAAAGTAATTTATGTCCGCATATAAGAAGTCGTCTTGAAAGGTGGTAAACCACTTTTGTGGACGCAAACGTGTTGGAATATAATGGCTCCTCAGGAAAACTATCGACCTCTTGCAAGTCTCCCTTTCTGTCAAAGCTTATCTTCTGGGTTTTCTGATTCACGGATGCACGCTAGGATGCAACTTTTGTTCACGCTGAATAGAAGTTGATGTTTGGTCTGCAGCGGCTACGCATCAGTCTGGCAAAGTACGATCACCTGCGGCGGTTTTACTGACAGAGCCTGCAGGCGCCAAAGGCTGTCGGTGGACACCTGCAGCTTTAGCAGTGGCTCTTGCAGCATGTTCTGCGACAACTGCTAATGCTGCAGATGGAGCAGAATCCTCGTAAGCTGGCAGCCTGTGCTGTACGCATTACTTACCTTTAAGTTCACGCATAACCTGACATTTGTGGCGGCAGGTGCGTTCACAAGATTTCCGTCCACTTATTTCCAAGGGGAATGCGAAATAATTGCCACTCCTAGAATGTTAATACTAACTTTCGAAAACTCCTTTCGCAATTGTTCCAGGGATCTGAGGACAAGACGACACAACACATGTGCCGCTATCGTTAACTTCGCGGCTGTAGAGTTTCCCCCAGACATTGCTGCAGCGGCATGCTGTTTCGAAAAGTTACTGGCCGATGCAGATGAGACTCTGGGGATAGGCGCTTTGGAGGTGGGTAGTGTTAAGCTGTATAACTCAGCAGCTGGCAAGTCAAAACAGCACCACATCCTGTGCTTGTCCTACCTCATCCACGATCACTCTTACCTGCAATAAAACTCCAAGATGATACACTTGGCAAGCGGAGGTTACGAGCAAAATTTTTAAGCAGACAAAACCGCTGGCTGTCAGACGGCGTGAGCGTAGCTTAATAGGTAATCAGCTAGACAATCAATTAAATAAAAGGCTTTGCCTGGGGGCGACAAGGCTATGCCTGCGGGCGATGCGTGAGACGTGCATTCGAACTCATTTGTTTCTCTGCAAAGACCATGTTTGCAGGTATTGTCCTCTATTTGCCTCTCTGGGTTTCAGCCGCACCTGGCGCAGCCAAAAGGTCAGCAAAAGCAAAAAGTGGCACGACCTGCTCAGCGTTCATACCGCCTCTCCAGTACAGTTGAAGGATTTTTTCTCGGCTGTTGCCAGCAAAGTGCTGCAACAAGCTGTTCTGCACAACTACATGAAAGTCGTCCGCCGTGTTCTTCAAACTGTGAGCCCCAGCTTCGCAGGCCCAAATAAGGGAAGCAGCTGCTTTTTCTTACTGTATCTGAAAGCTCCTCCAAAACAGCCTGTGCCATTCCACTCCTGAAAAGCTTTGCCCTGAAAGGCATGCTTTTGTTTACGATTGCTATGAGCGCAAGGCCGCCGAAACTGCTCTGCACGAAGCAGCACTTCTGGGCTATGCGGAAATCTGTCAGCTCCTGGTTGACGCGGGTGTCGCTGCTGTTTCCAAGATCTATGGAGGAAAGAGACCTTTTGAGCTCTTAGCCAAGGCACTGCAGCAACAGCAAAATCACAAGTTACTGCAGCAGCAGCATGACATCCTGGCAGCTGCTGCAGTGGCTGCATCTGCTGCGCCACCAGTTTCAGGGCTGCCGCGGTCAGTGAAGAGACTTACTGCAGAAACCCTAGAGTCTGCTGCTGAAGCAGCAAAAACGAGCATAGCTCAAATCAAGACAGACGACTCCGTACATTCCATTTCGGGACCACGAGGTTAGGAAAAACGCCCCGAAATGAACGGTACAGTGGTCTGTACATGTGCACCTACTTTTATGTCTGAGACTAGTCAGTTCGTTACTAAGGCCGAAACACTAGCTAGCAAAACTTAAACCTCTT